GATTTGGAGGTGGATTTGGAGGAGGGTTTTGATTTTCATCACCCGCCATAGTGGTGGTCGAACGAGGTAGCTAGGAGCAGAAGGGGAGAAATAAGAAATGAGAGTTGAGGTGGTGGTAGCGGTTAGGATGTGTTGAGTGGTGTTGGGGAGTTTGGGGTAGATTTTTTGTCCTTTTGGTTTGGGTTTAAACATTTCGTCACTTGTGTGTGGCGTAACTAGGGATATAGAGAAGCTACTATTTTTGTTTTTTGGTCCATTTGGACATTAGTCCTTGAAAATTAAATTTAAATGTAATTAATACATTAAAATAAGAATAAAAAGATAAATAAAACATCAAAATAGAACTAATAAATGAGATGATTAAACGTACTAGGGACTAAAATTAGATTTTAATCTTAAACAAGGTTATAGTCTAAAACTTATCTTTTTTAAAGATTAAAATGAAGTTTTCTATTTTTTTTTAATTTATTATTTATAGCTTCCTTTAACATTTGAAGGAGGGTTTTGATTCTCAATGTCTGCCATAGTGGTGCTCAAAAGAGGCAGATGGGAGCAGAAGGAGAGAATGAGAAATAAGCGCTGAGGAGGAAGCGTTAAGTGGTGTAAAGGTTGATTGGTGTTTTGCTTTTAAGGTGTGCTATCCACACATCCCATTTTACTTCTCACACACCCCTTAATAATTTATGTTCGTTGATCTTCTTCAATTCATCTGATCCGACGGTCGAAAATTAAAAATATATGTAATAAGTAAAATTGGATGTGTGGATAGCACATCCTTTTACTTTTATAGGTCAGTGGCTGGTTATTCCATGATAAATCTGGAAAAAGAGTAATTAATAGCATAGAAGCTTCCAAAATAATAATAATAATAATAATAATCGGGAGAAATTTCAGACTGCAAGAGTAATGGCATAGAAGCAATATTTCACACTGCAAGAGTAAACTAATGGCATAGAAGCAACATTTCAGACTCCAAGAGTAACTGATGGCATAGAAGCTTCCAAAAACTAATAATAATAATAATCTGGAGAAATAAGAATTTTCGGACTCCAAGAGTAAACTAATGGCATAGAAATCCAAAAGTGTAATTAATGGCATAGAAGCTATATTCCACACCCAAAGTGAATATTAATTCGTGGACGTCCGATACAATTGAAACGAGTGGAATGTGATTGTGACAAAGCAAAAGAATTTTTATTTTTCTTTATGTTTTATTTTTGGAAGCCCAGACTCAAGTGTAATTAGTTTCCGTCTCTCTATTTACAAAATTAACACAAAAGCTAAAGTTTTAGATTTTGTATTAGACCATCTTTAATTATTGGGTTAAAATTTAAAATTTTCAAACCCATACAATTTAGGATCCAATTGATATTCTATTTAAAAAGGTCGTACCCAGTGCAGAAGGCTCCCGCTTTACGCAGGGTCTGGGAGAGATGAATGTCGGCTAGCCTTACCCCCATTTATGGAGAGGCTGCTCCCAAGAATTGATATTCTATTTGAGTTCCATTTTTTAAATTTATGATCAAATTTCAACAGTCTGGGTACTCGGACTTAGTGGATTAGAAAGAAAGAATCCGGAGATGATCACTTTCCCTCACAAGAGATGGTAGAGATAATAAAGATTTGACTAAAGTCATTTTTTTTTCTTTCTAAATTACTAGCCACTGTTCATAAAACTTAATTTGACTCATGGATCAATAGTTTGTGGGGAATTATTGAGTAGAAAATGACTTAACTCGCTAATTTGTTGGAGATACATTTAACATTATTGACAATGATAAGAATTGACGTGCCTTGCAAGTAATCACATTCTGCAATATCTACTTCCTAGATATCCTTTGGGATTTCCAGGTCTAATGAGGATTCTATTATAAAAGGTCTTCTCCTTGACTCATATAAATATACCCTTCTACAGTTTATTTTTTATAACGCAATTCCTAGACACTTATTCTTTTGCAAATTGCTTGAGTCTTAATATTGCGTACCAACTTAAGTCTTAAAATATTATACATCCATCATAACCTTGGCTGCACTGTAATAGAAGTGTCAGATATGTATTCACAAAAGTTTTGCAACTCATTCCTACTTGGGCTTTTTGTTCCTGTACCATCTGTTAGAAGCGATTCCCCATTGGTTTTGAGCACATTGATCATTTTCCTTTTAAATCTTTGATGAGTCTGCCAAGTATTTCCTTGATTTTTTGTGGAGCTTCCGCTAGAACCTTCATTGTCAAAGACCTAAGTGGAGGCAAATGAGTATGGCTGATTATCCCAGGCTTTGACTGTTGCTGCTATGTTATCTGTAGAAACTGTTAACAAACCAATTATATGGAAGAAACTTAGAGAAGAAGATATCGAACAGAGAGATAGAGAGAGAAAGTAGAGAGGGAAAAATATATCTTGTTATATTTCCTTATGTTTATGACAAAACTAATCTCTTATAAATACAACACACCTTATGACTAACATTCACAACCTCCAATACAATTATGACACATGGCATAGCTATATCCTAACATTCCCCCTCAAGCTTATGCAGGGAAGAACCAAGCATAAGATTGTTACAATGTGAGCTAAACATAGGATAACATAAGCCCTTGGTAAAGATGTCAGCATGCTGCTCTGAGGATGCAACAAATTGCAAGATAATGGAACCTTGTTGAACACGTTCTCGAACAAAATGACAATCGATTTCAATATGTTTAGCTTTAGAATGTAAAACCGGATTTGTTGCCAGTGCCATAGCAGAAATGTTGTCACAGTGTAGAAGAGGAACTTCTGAACAGGGAAGATGCAAGTCCTTGAGTATTTGTTGTAACCAAACCACCTCAGCAGTTGTTGTCGCCATAGCACGATAGTCAGCCTCGGTAGATGATCGACTAACCGTGTGCTGCTTCTTAGAACTCTAAGAGACAAGATTAGTGCCCAGGAATACCACAAAACCCGTGGTGGATCTCCTGTCATTAGGATCCTCAGCCCAATCGGCATTCGTATATGCTTTAATATCCAGATTTCTAGGTTGAAAACACAAGCCAAGATTCATGGACCCTCGTAGGTACCGCAAGATCCGTTTAACAACAATGAAACGACTATCCAGAGGTGGGTGCATGAATTGACAAACTTGATTGACCGAGTACGCAATATCCGGTCTTGTAAATGTCAAATATTGGAGAGCACCAACAATGCTGCGATAGATACCCGGATCATGGAAAGGAGGACTACCATGATTCAGCAGCTTCTGATTTGGATGACGAGGAGTTGAACACGGTTTGCTATCCAGCATGTTTGTCTTAGTAAGAAGATTAGTAATATACTTGGTTTAATGCACAAGGAAACCGGTATGGCAATAATGAATTTGAAGACCAAGGAAATAGTGTAAAATCCCTAGGTCATTCATATCAAATTCAGCTGTTAACTGATGTATGACAGCTTGAACTTGAGTATCACAATCACCACTGAGGATTATATCATCAACATATAATAACAGTACAACAATAGACTGACCATTATGTTTCACATATAAAGATGGATCAACATATAAGGATTTAAAGCCCAAGGTAAGAAGAAACCTGGAAAATCTGTCATTCCAAGCTCGAGGAGTTTGTTTAAATCCATAGAGAGACCGGTCTAACTTACACACAAACTCAGGATGATCGGGATCAATTAAGCCTTGTGGCTGAGACATATACACCTCTTCATCAAGAAAACCAAGAAGAAATGCGTTCTTGACATCTAACTGTTTTAATTTCCAACGCTTTGTAGCAGCTAGGGACAACAGAAGTCTCACTGTGGTTGGCTTGACGACGGGACTGAAAGTTTCATGATAGTTAAGACCGACTTCTTGGGAAAAACCCTTGGTTACCAACCTGGCCTTGTATCGAGCAACTGAACCATCAGGATTACTTTTGATCTTATAGATCCATTTACAACCAACCAAGTTCTTGTTAGGTGGAAGATGAACTAATCTCCAGGTTTTCTGCTTCACAAGAGCTGCCATTTCATCTTCCATAGCTTGCCTCCACTCAAAGGACTTAACAGCAACCTTGAAAGACTGTGACTCAATGATAGATGAAGATTGTACCTGAGCAAGAATAGCCTTCTTTTTTAATATGCCAGATTTCAACCTTGTTTGCATTGGATGTGTATTGAGTTGAGACACTGGAACATGATGCAGGGCTTGAACTTGAGAAGTAGTAACATCAGGATGAATATCAACATGCTCCACATACTATGCAACTGTGGCCTCAGTAGGTAAGCATTGAGAAGAGACAAGATCACCAGGTATGGAAGAAGAGGACTGAGTAACAGAATAAGGATCAGTGGTATGGGAAGAAGAATAAGGAAATGGAATATGGCGAAAAGGAATGTGAATAAAGGATGGATGCTCAAAGTTATTTGGATGAGGTATAATAGGCGGTGCCAATGATAGTGAACTATAGACAGAATCTGGTAAGCTAGGAAATGTATCTTCATCAAACACAACATGCCTAGAGACAATGAGTTTATGGTCTCGGATAGCATAGCAAATATATCCTTTGTACTGAGCTGCATAACCCAGAATTATGCACTGTGTAGTTTTTGGTTCCAACTTGTTATGTCTATAGGGTTTTAAAGTAAGGTAACATGCACACCCAAATACCCTTAAATGATCAAGCCTAGGTGGAGAGTGATATAACATTTCAAATAGGGATTGCATATGTAAAACAGGTGTAGGCATTCTATTGATAATAAACGTGGCTGTGGCACAAGCATGAAACCAAAACTGTGAAGGAAGAAAGGCTTTTTGTAGTAAAGTAAGAGCAATTTCAACTATGTGACGATTTTTTCTCTCAACCAACCCATTTTGTTCAGGGGTATAGGGACAAGACTTTTGATGCAATATACCTTTGGTTCTAAGAAACTTTTGAAACACAGATCCAACAAACTCTCCACCACCATCACTTTGTAAGACTTTGATATTGACAGAAAATGAATTTTGAAAGAAGGCATGAAACTGAATAAAGATTTCACAAACTGCAGCTTTATTCATCATTGGAAAAATCCATGTATATCTTGTACATTCATCGATAAAAGACACATAGTACATATAACCCTCTATAGACATGATAGGTGCAGGTCCTCACACATCTGTGTGAATGACTTCAAATGGTACATTGGACTTAGATGATGCTAATGGGAATGGTAATTTGGTAAACTTGCCTTGTAAGCAAGAGGTACATGTTTGAGGAACAGAATGACAATGAAAAGAAATATCGGCCTTACTAACTACATAATTGGTTGGATGACCCAATCTACAATGCCACAGTGTAGTATTAACTTTCTGGCCAAGATAAGCAGCAGGTTTGATCTGTGGTTGTTTGAGCAAAGGAAATAGGTAAACAGCATTGTTACTCAGTCCTTGAAAGAGAACCTTGTTGGTGACCTTGTCCTGTATGCACACAAAAAACTCATCAACAATGCATCGACAATTATTGTCCTTACATAATTGATCCATGGAAAGTAAATGTTGAGATAATTGTGGAACATGAAGCATTGTTTTTAACTGAAGTTTATAAGAATGAGTAATAAGAGAATACTGTCCAATATGCGAAATGTGTAAACCTTCACCATTAGCCCCAGTTACAGTTTCAGTGGATGGATATGGGGTAAGAGCTTGTAGACAGGACAGATCAGAGGTCATGTGATTGGTAGCACCAGAATCAAGCAGCCAATACTCTTGCGGAGGTGCAAAAGGTGAGAAGTTGGTTCTTGCAGTGAAAGCAACAGGAGATGTAGCTTGTTGTGACATGTTCTGATGCTGCACATACGATGGATGCATTTGTTGAACTGGAGCAGGAGCCTGAAACTGTGGAGATTGATATTGTTGAACAGAAGCAGAAGCTTGAAACTGTTGAGACTAATACATAGGCTGAGACATGGGCATAAAAGAAGTACCCATGTCGAAACATATAGCTGCAGTGTGACCAACCCTATTGCAGGTTTGGCATCCACGCTGAAAACAATGGAGTGCAGAGTGTCCCTTTTTATCACAAATTTGACAGATCAACATAGGATTATAAGGTTGTGTAGTTTGAAAACTAGATTGTGGTTGAGACTGAACATTAGTTTGAACATACCCCTGATAACCTGAGTGAAATTTCTTCCCTTTTCCTTTGTACTTGAAATTTTGCCCCCTGAAATTATTATAAGTGCCAGATCCTGCTTGAGACACAAATGCATAAGGACCATGTGGAGCTTGAAGAGAGAATGGCTGAAACTGTGGAAGTTAAGGTAGTTGATTCACCGGAGCCATGTTAGACATATAACTCATGGTAGGCATTTGAGCTAGTTGTGGCATTTAAGGAAATGAGGTCATTTGAGGTACATGATATAATGATGAGCCAGTATCATAGTTGCCCGAACTAGATTGGTACCAGATGACCCTCCAAACTCATGTATGGAACCGGAACTATTAGCATACATTGCGGCCATTAGAGGTTGTTTAAGACTTTCTTCAAGGGTTGCTTCTTCTGCCTTCAACTGAGACCTCAGCTCTTTCAGTGACACAAGATTTTCTCTTCCTCGAATAACAGCCTTAATAGTGTTGTATTCAGTTGGTAAGCCTTTGAGAGCAACTATGACAATATCTTCATCAGGCATAACAACACCCACTGCAGCTAACTGGTCTCTACAGTCTGTGATGCGTTGAAGATTAAGATTAATAGATTCAGCCCTTTTCTTAATAGTCTGCAGATCAATTTTCATCTGGACAATACTTGTTCTAGTCATACTCGAGAACCTCTCTTTCAAGTTAATCCACATTTCCTTGGAGCTTTGACACCTAATGACACTCGATAGGGCAGCAGGAGACAAGGTAGTAGTGATAAGAGTCATCAAAGCTTTATCATGAATCTTCCAAACTTTATAGGCATCATTTATGATAGAGCAATTAATCACAATGCCATCTTCAGTAGCAGTATATTTCTCAGGACAGGAGATATAGCCATCAAGAAATCCCATAATACCATTACCTTTTAACAGTAATTCAAGTTGAAAATTTCATGTGATATAGTTAGAATCATTTAACTTGACTGTGACAGTATTACCAACACTTGGTATTAGGGAAGAAATAGGAGACTGTGTAAGAGCTAATTGGGCTGTGGTCACCATGCTTAATCAAGAAACAACAATCTTTATAGAAAATAAAAGTAATCAAGAACTGGTTAATCACGTAATCAAAAACTGCTTAATCACCACACAACGATTCGTGCGTCAATCAGAAGTAATCAAGAACCAACAATTAACAGAAATCTCCAACCCAATTCAATTTTGAAGAGAATACCACACAATTCAACAGAATAGCAACAAGAAGTTCAACAAAATCACCACACGAATCTGAACAAGAAGGTAAGAAATTCGACCAATACCTCCAGCCAAGACAACGATCAACAACAACAACGACTGCAAGAAGAACAACCGACTTCTACTAACCCAGTTAAGAAAACACCAAAATTCTAGGGTTTCAGTAACCAAGATTCACCAGAGTCCACGAACAGGCCCAAAAAACGACCAATCAACTTCCGGCGAACAAGTGAAAACCACCGGAGCAAAAACGAAGAGACGCGGAAGCACCGGGATCGTCAGGCGACGGCGTTAGCCATTGCCGGCGATGATACCATGTTAACAAACCAATTATATGGAAGAAACTTAGAGAAGAAGATATCGAACAGAGAGATAGAGAGAGAAAGTAGAGAGGGAAAAATAATCTTGTTATATTTCCTTATGTTTATGACAAAACTAATCTCTTATAAATACAACACACCTTATGACTAACATTCACAACCTCCAATACAATTATGACACATGGCATAGCTATATCCTAACAGAAACCACATTGCTTCCTGGTCGAAGGTAAGCTCGTTAAATTTTTCCCAGAAGAAGGTTCCTATATGTATGTTGTGAAAGTTAATAGCATGCGTTGTGTTCTGAGAATCTGAAAAGTACTCAAATATCATAGGTCGAACTAAATGCGCACGCATCTGCACACATACATTACCACACATATATATGGTTTAAGTTGCGTACCTCTAAACATTAGAAAGATATTTGTGGACCTCTGCACTTTCCACGAGGCCCTTGAAGTATGAATATTTAGTTTGAGATGATTATCGTTGAGCATGCCTCCTTCTGTAGAAAAAGTAGGGAGAAGAGGAGGAAGCATGAATATTTGGACCTTCCTGATGGTTCTGGCTGGGGTGATCATATCCAGTTGCTACAGATATATGAGTGCTGGCATCAAACTGACTATGACATTGATTGGTGCAAGGATTATCAGTTGTAGGCACCTTTTTTATATTCTGTATAAGAAAAACCTGATATATTCAGGGCATTGGCGACATGATTCTAGTATTTGCTTGTTATGTGAGAAAACAGCTATCTAAAATCATGCAGAAAATAGCAAAAGGCGAGTAAGCTACATTATTAAAGAGCTTGCAATTATATCATGTTCACGAAACACCGCTATGAACTGACTAAATGACTATTCTCCTGAATGTTACTTGATAACATGAAGCTCTTATATATAATGGTCTACTGCAGCCTACTGATACTGATAAGTGCTGAATAAGTAACATGCTCAAAGTACGTGATTTATGGAACAAAATTGGATTGAGATTATCATTATGCATTTCTGGTTTATCAAAGCACCGATCGACCACTTAAGTTACTTAAACTGGGAAAGGAAAACGAGAAACTTTGAGCTGGAAATTGATCGTGGCTAGGCATATCTCACTAGAATTAGGCAAAGGTTTGAGTAGTGAGTCTTTTGCAAGTCTAGAATTGACACTCACAAATACTTTTATTTCCGGTGCATCCATCCTCTTTGCATAAACCAGATGATGAAGTGACTATGTTGTGTACCTGAACTCATTCAACAACCCGCCCATTCCTGCGCATTGTATGTGCTGTAAATATTGCTTGGGTCACACCCATTTTGGACAAAGTAAATAATCTAGATATCAAGAAGCTGAGGTGAAGCCAGTTTGCATAGAACTACCATTATAAGTAGAAAATGATTTGTTTCTAATTCAAGGTAGTATATGAACATTGCAGAGATTGAACCTTTAACCTTTTATGCAGTGGCAGGATCGGTCATATTGAAGAGCAGCTGGAGGGAAATCTTTCTGATTTGCCAAAGAAAGTGGATGTTGCAGCAGTTCCTGATGATCGTGAGAGTATAATACAGGCAGCTAGGAAACGACTTCGTGCTCGTAAAGAAAAGAAATGAGCTTATTCAGTACTTTTATATATAACAATACCAAAAATCCTCAATTGAGGACCAATGAGAGAGAGAGAAGAAAAAAGAATGTGTGTCACTAATCTCATCAATCTACCGTATCTTTTACTTTTATTTAAGGGAGTAGTATTGTGGCATGGAGAAGGGGAGAATATTTGTATATTTACAAAAATATAAGGTAATGGCATTCAACACTCAAAGCTTACCCACAGAGCAATCCCTCTCTCTTTCCAATTAATTTTCAAACAGTGTCTCGGATCCAAACTCTCGCTTGTAATAAAAAGGAACAACACTTTAGCATAGCCGCAATGATCTCATGCTCCTGGGTTCAAGCCGCAAGGATCTATTAAGTCCTCTCCTTGCCAAGAGTGCACAGATCATCACGATTCCACCATCCATTACCCCTTTCTGGAGTTTTCTGAACTTGTATGTTGTCGGCCAGTGGATAACGAAAGATCTTTGAACCCAGGAGGGAGTAGATACCATAAATTCATATAACTTGACTCTGTTGAGCTATTTGATCATGACAATATAACATATGCACGCTTGTCTTAAAAGAGAAAATAGTGACTCCAGCCATACATCAATATTTTCTCCTCTAGTGCTTGTGACTCAAGCAAATGATGTTGAGGCTTCGAAGAAACTGATTGAGGGGGCAGACGTTGATCTCAATGAGCAAGATGAAAAGGGATACTCAGCTGCCATGATATCTGCAGAGGGCGGTTACCTGGAAAGTTTCAAATTGCTTATCAACGCTGGGGCTGACATAAACCTGCAGAATAAACGTGGTCAGACGGTAATGGAACTGTTCGATACAAATCAAAACAGTGCAGAATTTGAAAAGTTGTTACTTTAGAATGCTGCACCTCAAAAGGTACTTGATAGTCCTGTTGAGTTTTATGGGACTCTCCATCAGGCAGTACAACACAGCGCCACAGATTTTGTTCATACATTGAGAAGCAGGGGCTCTGATGTGCTTCTGATGCCAATGGATACACTCCGTTGATGTTAGCAGGAAGAGAAGGCCACACAACGCTGTGCGAGCTTTTGATTTCCTTAGGGGCAAAATGCGACATTGCGAATGCCAGACACGAGACAGCACTCGTTTGCAAGGAAAAGTAGGATACACAAGAAATCGTTTAATAAGCAAAAATGCTACTCTTACCACGTATTTGTACCATTTGAGTTCAAATTTTCTGCACCCTAGCCTCTCCATGGCTTTAATAGTTTTGTGAAATCTGTGCACCCATTTAACAGTGTTAAATTGTTGTTATCTCCTTCACCTTGTAAATAAATTAGAAAGATAAAAAATTTCCCAAGCGTCCAAAACATGAATGCTCCCCGAGCGAGCGTCACTCTCTCTCCTTGGATCAGGAACACCAACAACAACAATGGCGGTTACCTGGCTGTTGAAACAACTCCCAGTGCCCTCTCCGTGGTTTACAAGAGTGCGAATGTAATAGATAAAATAAATTTACAAATTTGCAGAGGATAATGATTCCCAACCCAATCATTCAATCACAAATAAACAAATTTACAAGATTGGAGACAAAATCGATGAAATTGATTCAGCGAGTGCACCGTTTTCGAACCTCAACTTCTTGAATCAGGCATCGCGGCGGTGCCAACCTGAAAATGATGATGGGATTGCTGCAAATCCTTGTAGAAACCGCTTGCATTGCAGACATTCGAGCGTTCAAAGAAGAAACCATGGAGAATGCGAAGAATAAAAGGGAGGTGAAGGCTTCGAACTCGCCTTCGCCTTCGCCATCTGTTTCATGGGAATTTGGGAGAGGATTTAGTAGAACAGTCCTCTGTTAGTGCAGAGGCTTTTGCAGAGTTATCTTTTCGCCGGAATTTGGAGATGGTGGTGGTGGGATGGGAGCGTGGCTTTTCTTTTCTGGGTTTGAATTGCGGCAGTTTGGAGATGGAGATGGCAGCGTCGAGGTGATAACAGAGAGACTTGACAGTGTTAAGTTGGAGAAATTCTCAGGTGTGATGGAAACTCGGGTGGTTCAACACGGTTTTTATGTAAGTGGTGAAATTTTTTAATTTTTAAGTTATTAAACTTTTAATATATATGTCCCATTATTTATATAAGAACAAGTGGTGTACCATCTCGTGTGACGGTCACATTGAAAAATCTCTCGTTAAGTTGGGTTAAGTGAGTAGACAAGTGTCACAAGATTGGAGAGGGCACATTCTTTTTTAGGCGCATAAGATTAGAATTACTTAAATGACACGTTTACGTAACTGTAATGAAAATATGAGAAATTGAATTGAGAAGGAGTTGGAATGAGGAAAAGTCAGAATCAGATTCCTATTGAAACTGTTTGCTTAAATATTCTGGAATCGGAATAGAAATGACACTAATTCCATAAAGTTGTTTACTAATTCAACAGAATCGGAATATAAACCAATATGATTACTAAAATGTCCTTGTCCCAAATCAAATATTTTATATACTTTTTTTTCATAAAATTTGATATAATATATAATAGTAAGAGGAAAAAAAAATTAAATTGCTTTTCTATTTCATAGACACACTAAAATGTTTTTGTTTATTTTTTTATAAATATAAGTATTTACTTTAATATTTAAATTTTCTTGCTTAAATTGTAGTTTATTCTCTTCGGCATGTGTATGGAGTTGTGCATAATATGAATGAGCATGAAGTTGTGCATAATGTGAATGAGGGCATAATAGAAAGAAAAAAATGCATTCCTAATTCTTTCACCCTCATGGAATTCAAATACCTCATCTATCCAAGGAATCCCACTCCTCCAATTTCATGAATTGCATTTCTTGTTTCGAGTGGGGTCCACCACACTATTGATTCCCTAGTATTTAGTAAACGTCGGAGTAATCTGTAATCGGAATTCAATTCCCCTTTTTTATTCCCATTACCCTTATGTAAACACGCCCTAAGAGAGATAGATTTACTTGCGTTGGTGGACTTTATTTTTATTAAAAATCGGTACAAATTATAGTACAAATATGTAATACATTATTCTTTAACAAGACATAAGGCCCGTTTAAGTATTAGCGGATTATGATATATGATGATTTTTTATATGACGATATATATTTAACGAGAGAGGATAATTTAATGAACACAAATATTCAATAAACATTACACTTACACAAATATTAAAATCAAATTTCACACTTGACCAAATAAGCATAGCAATTCATACATAGAGTTCAAAAATATTAAAATTACATGCCATTGAATAAATATAACAAGTCTTACATGGAGAGATCCAAATTATTAAAATTACATGCCCTGAATAAATATGACAAGTCTTGCATGGAGAGATACGAATATAAAAACGTAACTAGTAGGAAAAGACGACTATTGTAGAAGAAGAATGGACCATGCATTTTGCTGATAACTAGCTCTCTCTCTCTCTCCATCGTTCTACTGATCTGAAAATAACAATGGAAGTGAAAATAATTATTAATAAGATACTCAGACAAAAAACAAAAGAAATAAGCAACTTAACAAACATTGGTTTAGTTGTAGTTTGCCTAATTTTTTGTTGCCAGTTGTCGCAATTGTAATTTTTCAGTGTATTTTGTTGAGTAACATCAACAACTCGTATATTATATATACGCAAATCATAATTTAGTAAAATATAGAACACGTGTGGTGTATAGGTGTTGTTTGAGAGTTTTTTTTTTTTTAATGTGTATACACGTAAAATATCTGTATTAATAATTTTGAGGCCAGAAATATACCCTAAAATATAAACATGAATTAATTAAAACGATTTTTCTATAAAGTAACTATTAGAAGAAAACACCAATCGCTTGGGTTTTAAACTAACTATTGAGTTAAAACCTCAAAAGCTTAATATGTCCCAACACACATAAATCAAGAAATGGTAATTCTGAGAAAAAAAAAATTATAAGAAAAAAGCAAAAAAGTATGAAGAGACTTTAAATACCCAAATTTTAATAGTTTTCTGTGATATAGTTCCAAAATAGAACACAGATGTCAGCTATGACATGGGTCGCGTGGTCCCAATTGTGAGATATGACGTAGATCACACGAACCCAGTTGTAAGATAGGACATGGATAGCGTGATCTCGGACATTTCGAAATCTTAGGTTAAGCAACAATAGGACCACCAGAAGAGGATTGAAGGAATAAAGCATTGGATTATAAAATTGGGGTGCGAGGATGCCACGCAATGCGAGCCAGTAGGTAGCCCACACTAAGCCAAGCCCTACCCAGATAACGAAGCGGTGTAGAAGTTGGGCGGAGAGAACAAAAGTCCAAACCAAACAACAGACAGCGCTGCCGTGGTCATGACAGAGAAAATGTAGAAAGGGGGAAGGCATGGGCAGTTATTCAGTTTGCACTCGCAACTAGCCGGATCGACGGAGGGAGGTATGACAAAGTAGGTCGGATCCACCCCGAGGGGAAACATAATGGTAGCTAAGGCCAAGAGGATGGTCAGGGTTAGGTGTGTTTGCGGATTCGGAGGTGAATTTGGAGGAGGGTTTTGATTTTCATCGTCCGCCATAATGGTGGTCAGCTGGGAGAAGAAGGGGAGAAGTAAGAAACGGGAGCTGAGTTGGCGGTGTGTTGGGGGGTGGGGTGGGAGAGGAAGGGATTAAATAAGAATTGGGGGGGGGGGGATACTTTTAGTCTATAAGGGGTTCATTTTGTCTATAAGGGGGATACTCGGGATACTTATTATGTGGGGGATACTTTTAGTCTATGAGGGATATATTTTGTCATGGGTGATGCACTTTTTTTTGGTTTTGGGTGATGCACTTTTTTTTTTGGTTCTGATACACTTTTTGTCTATGAGGGTGATACATTTTGTGTCTATGAGGGGATACTTTTACTTTCACGCATTGTGACATTCATACCCTACTAGTCTTATTTATTTAATCATAGTTTCCTACCTAAACTTAAAATTTTCTGACACTTTAGTACTTATGTTAGCCTATCATATATTATTCTGATCAAAGTCTAGCAAGGATGTCAATAATTTGGCCTTCATCTTTTAAATCAATAATTTGGGTGCTTGTTTTCTTGTGCCAGCCGGGGGAAAAGCAAACATGTCCCACTTGTAAGAGGTAAAAGAGTAATCAGAGGAGGAAGTGACATTGTGGATGGTTCAGTAGATGATGGCAAACTAAAGGAAGTCATGGAAACTATACAAGCGAGAGAATTTGGACGTGAGGAAGAACCAAAAGTTAGGTCGAGGCTTTCCTCCTGAGAAATGTTTATTTGTCTCTTAGCTTCAGTTTTGTTAGGTCAATAAAGTTGCATGATTTTTAGCTAGTTCACTAAGATGATTAAGGAAAAATTGGAGATGCCTTACCTCAGTACTAATTTTGCAGTGAAGGTGGGATAAAATTGGGCTTGGTGATACCAACTTGTTTGCTGAAATTGAAAAGGATTTTACTGCTTATGGGATGAATCGGTATTTGGAGGTGGTAAAGTTATTAGAGAAGGAATGGGCCAGTCATCTGGGAACTCCCAGCTGATTGGATACGGTTATAACTAATGCTGTGATCTTTGATTATAGTGGGATATATACGGCAGATATTGGTATCAAAGAGGGTAGCATTTTTGCCCTTGGAAAGTCAGGCAATCCAGATGTTATGAATGGCTTAAATATGATCATTGGGATAAATATGATCTCACATTACAACAGGTCGTTCTGGAAGAAAATTTCTAGGAAATTGATAAAATGTGCTTATGCCTTCTTCTTTATCACTTAGGTTAACACTGAGGTCATTCAGGGACGGAGCCAGAAATTTCTTCTAGTGGGGGCAACCGAAAACAATTAAGAAAACCTTATTATAGTATGGTTATATGCAATATGATATTAAGGATGGTTTCAAATAATGATGTATCATAATTCCAATGTTACAAAAATTTCAATATAGTAGTGGAAAGTGGCAAAGTGATGAGAAAAATATACGTACATGATAAGCGGGAGAGGGTTTTTTTGTTTGAATGACAGAACAAGAGCACTATTGCTCATATATGGAGTACAAGTAGAATGAATATATGTTGGATATTAGATAGATATATTTTCTTCAAAGATAACCCTGTGTATATTATATAATTGTAGTCTACAACTAGACAAACGAATTACTTGAGTGAGTGGGGGCATCTGCCCCCAATGAGCCTTCATTGACATAAACGTGTAGAATAAACTTGGTCAGACGGTAATGGAAATACTCGATACAAATCAAAACTGTGAGAATTTGAAAGTTGTTGCTTAAGAATGCTGCACCTCAAAAGGTACTTGATAGTCCTGTTGAGTTTTATGGGACTCTACATCAGGCAGCACAACACGGCCCCGCAGATTTTGTTCATACATTGATAAGCAGGGTCTCTGATGTGCTTCTGATGCCGATGGATGCACTCCTTTGATTTCTTTAGGAGCAAAATGCGACATTGCGAATGCTAGACATGAGACAGCACTCTTGCTTGCAAGGAAAAGTAGGATACACAAGAAATCGTAAGGAAAAGTAGGATAAACAAGCAACCGTTTAACAAGCAAAAATACTACTCTTACACGTATTTGTATTATCTGAGTTCAAATTTTCTGCACCCAAATAGGTGTGGCCTCACTGTGGCTTTAATAGTTTTGTGACATCTGTCCACCATTTTAACAGTGTTGAACTGTTGTTATCTCCTTCACTTTGTTAAAAAAATTAAAAATTAAAAATTAAAAAACCAATCGTACAAAACGTGAGCGCTCCTCGAGCATCACTCTCTCTCCTTGGATCAGGAACACCAACGACAAGATGGCGGATGCGAACCAAAAAACAAATATATTTACCACATAGGGCTCCACAAAGACAAATCTAAGAACAACATCAGCCAATTTCCCTTCAAAAATTCACAAACCAACAATCCAAACAAAAAACACAAAACAAAGAAAAAATGATTGATTAAATAATTAATTGAAAATCCAAACGGGAGCTTTCTCCATTGAATTGCATAATTCAAAGCACCTCATCCTGGGGCTGAGCCTTCACTTTGCGGTTACCTGG